GTTTGGATTATGCTAAAAGATTGTTGCGCCCAACAACACAAAAAAAATCCATTCATTACCTACAAAGTTATAGTTAATTATAGCAAACACTAGGAACAATAACATGCATTCCAAAAGAAAACAAACCAAAACATTTTTTAAGAGATTGGAGTCCAATTTCTTTATTGAATGTTTTTCATAGATTAGCATCAGATTCAGTAAATAGACTGAACAATGTCGACGTCTTAGATATATTAGTGTCAAAATATCAAACTGAATTTATTAAGAAAAAGTACCTTTTATGAAAGCACTAGATTAGTGTATGATATAATTCACAAGACTGAAGATAACGATATGCCTGGTTTACTAATGATGATTGATTTTGAAAAGGCTTTTGATTCTACATTGCATCTTTTAAATTCATAGAAAAAATTCTTTCATTATTTCATTTTGATCCAATGTTTAGAAAAGGGATATCTCTACTATACACCACTAAACTTGAGTTATTTCAAATGTTTTTTCTTCATTTTTTTCAAGAGTCAAAGACAAAACGATCCAATTAAACTACAATCTTCACTTTGTGTGCATAGATTCTAGCAATAAAAATAAAACAGTTAAAAGAGGTTTTACTGATGTTCGATGATAGGTGTTGGGTGTTATTGTTGATGTCTTTTTCTTTTTGTTGAGAAAATTATAGATTTATATTCTAATGAAAAACTTCAAAAAGTAAAAAAATGTATAACGCGCTGGAAAAAAATCGTTAATTTCAATTGGAAAATATATTTTACAAAGTCAATAATGTTACCTTTATTTATTCATTGTTAAACAAGTTTACAGACTCCCAGTTCTATATTCTTTAAAAAAAATCAATGACTTATTTTTATGCATTTTTTTGCATGGTTAGCCAAGGCAAAAATTAAGCAAAACATACAAGAACGCGGTGTTGATATGCTTGATATCTATAGTTATAAACAGTTTGAAAAATATGCAATTGCGAACGTAAATGTTATAAGGTAGTAAACACATTGTTTGAAATGAATAAAGGTTATATCACTGGAAAACTGTTTTATGAAATAATAATTAGTAATATCAGAAATACAGTCTGCATTGATGCATCAAAAGCATATATGACCTTTATAGAGGTAATGCAGAACAAATTGTAAGCATGTTTTTTATTTTATGATCACAACTTTTTATTTGGAAATAGATATTTAACTGACATATAAAAGATATTTCAACTGTTTATCTTTTATAACATAAAAATGGGTTGTTTATTTGATTAGTGTCATAAATCAATGTGTGCTATAATAAAGAAAACAAGTAACATAAAATGCAATCCTACTGTTGGGCCATGCAATTGCGAAGTAGACTAGCAGTTTCCATTTGTCAGCATTGTCATAAATTTTGCAAATAATGATTATCAGTTTATAGACATATGTGTCATCAAAGTCCATTAACATTCGTAATTGATTAATTTAGTTTTTAGATATTTATGAAAAGGGATAATACGTCCGTGCAATTTTTCAATTTTATGTAAAGAGTAAAGTTGGGTTTGCAGTCATCTACTCCCCCTAAAAGTTATAGAACAGATAAATTTAAATGTAATGGAAAAAATAAAAGTGTGATTTTTTTGACGATTAAAAATTTTCAATGGAAAAAATCCCCAAAATAATTAGGCAGCTCAAACATTATTTTATTAAAGTAACAATGTCTTCCAAAGTCTTCCAAATTGTCTAAATAATTTATTTCCTGGTTTATATTCTTATTTTCAACTACAGCTCAAAGAGTTGAATGTTTTTGAGCACGTATATATTTTATTACACAAACTGTAAACTTAACAAATAATCCTACGGAAACGTATACCGACCATCTCTATATGATACATATCAAATGACTTTTTTACAGTTTTATATTATGTTTGTTATATGCAAATATGATTTGAGGAAAGAATTACATGTTTAAAAAGATTTGTTTTATTTTTTCATTTTGTCAAAAAGTTAAAAGTAGTTTATCTTGCATTATAAGATAAAAACGTACGATAGATTACGAAAAAATACGTATTATATATGATTTACAATATAACTTGATTTAATTGCTTCCTTTATCAAATACAAAAGTTTTGACTTTTCTCGTGTCACACATCATATAAGACGAAATATCGCTTAAGGTTTGGGATCTATGTTCCTATAATAACATCAACTGGTCGAATATGCCTTTTATATAATATTTATATAATATTTATCATGTAAAATGGTAAAATTGTCGGAAGTTATCGTTTTAAGCTCTATATATTATATATATCTTACACAAATATAATGGTTTCTATGATAACTAATTTACATCAGGTACTACTTCACTAGCTTATTTTATGCATATTAACAACTAACGGAGTTTGTCTTTTTTATATAATCTTTATCTTGTAACACTATCTGAAGCACAATTATTTAAACATTCCTTAATCTTGGAATACAAAAAGACTCATTCAAATGTTTCTTATATAATTTTTAAAATACCTTTCTATTGTGCGAGTTTTTTCTGTCCTCATTATCAAATATAAATTTTAAAATATGTTGTATTATATTTTATAATGATAGATGTATGCGAATAAAAAACCTCAATATATAAAAGTAATACATATAAATGAACAGAAAAATGTCACATAAATTTGAATCCAGCAATATTAATAGCAGATTGAGTAAATGATATATATTCAAGATCAAATAACAATGTAAATATTGGTCAAATTAAATCGTGTGTTAAATAAATTGTCTTAAATTCTGTTTTTACCAACATGCAGGGGCTGTAGATATTACTAATTAAATATTTCAGATCAAGTTAGTTTGTAAAAATTGGTTTGGTATATAATATGTATTAAATAAATTGTCAAATATTCTGTTTTAACTAACATATAGGGGTGGTCGCTATACGTTTGCGTATAATCCAGGCTTGAATCTGTATTTTTAAAATTTATAAATGTCACAAAAGATCCTCAAATAAAATCCTTATTCGTCTTATATATGGTACTCAAAGATCTTTCTGGAATAATCTGTTTATTGAATATTCTAAATAGGAAACAAACTCTCCAGACCTTTCCGAAATATTATACAATTCTCTTAAAGTTACCTGAAAGTTCATAAATATTCTACATGTAATTATAATACGGAAACAACACAATATTTCAAATACAAAGCCTAACCATGCTAAATAAATAAGTCGTCAACATAAAAAAAACACTTTGAAATGCATGTTTTGGTTCGTTTTGAAAGACATATCAATTAATCAATAATCCTTATAAATCTTTTTGATATAAAACATATTTCAGTTTTACCGGAGGAGGTTATTGTTGCGGTTAATTTTCTCTCTATGACTCGTTCTTACAACTGTTGGCGCTGTCCTTTGATATTTAAAAAAAAGTTAAACGTCAATATGTACGGAAACGTAAAGCGACCACCCCTATATGTTAGTTAAAACAGAATTTTTGACAATTTATTTAATACATACTATATACCTAACCAATTTTTATAAACTTACTTGATCTGAAATATGTTTCTAGTAATACCTACAGCCCGTGCATGTTCGTAAAATAGAATTTAAGACAATATATGTAACACACGATATATATTTGACCAATATTTACATTGTTATTTGATCTTGAATATATATCATTTACTCAATCTGCTGTTAATATTGCTGGATTCAAATTTATGTGGCATTTTTCCGTTTATTTATATGTATTAGTTATATATATCGAGGTTTTTAATTCGCATACCTCTATAATATACAATATGATATAACATATTTTACAATTTATATTTGATAATGAGGACAGAAAAATCTTGCACAATAGAAAGCTTTTTTAAAGATTATATATGAAACATTTGATTGAGGCTTTTTGTATTCCAAAGATTAAGGAATGTTTAAATAATTGTGCCTCAGATAGTGTTACAAGATAAAGATTAATATATAATAAAGACAAACTCTGTTAGTTGTTAATAAGCATAAAATTAGCTAGTGAAGTAGTACCTGATGTAAATTTGTTATCATAGAAACCATTATATTTTTGTAAGATATATAATACATAGAGCTTAAAACGATAACTTCCGACAAATTTACCATTTCAAATGTATGTACAGAGGATGGTACATGATAAATATCATATAAAAAGGCATATTTGACCGGTTGATGTTATTTTAGGAGCATAGACCCAAAAGCTTAAGCGATAGTTCGTCTTATTTGACGTGTGACACGAGAAAAGTCAAGACATTTGTATTTGATAAAGGACACAATTAAATCAAGTTATGTTGTAAATCATATATAACACGTATTGTTTTGTAATCTATCGTACGTTTTTATCTTATAATGCAAATTAAACTACTTTTAACTTTTTGACAAAATGAAAAAAAAAACAAAAAAACACTTACATCTTTTTAAATATGTAATTCTTTCCTCAAATCATATTTGCATAAAACAAACATATTATAAAACTGTAAAAAAGTAATTTGATATATATCATATAGGGATGGTCGCTATACGTTTCCGTAAATATGATACTCTTATTTACTGAACATTTTCCAATATATAATGGTTTAGTGTTGCAATTCTACTTTGATTTACTTTATCACAAACAGGAAAGGTAAAAACACGTTATTGAGTTGATATATGCGCACTTGAACATGTAGAAATGTTTCTCAATCTACACTGACGTTTTTGCTTGTTAAGTTTTCTAGGAGAAAGCGGAGATAATAGACGACTGAACCGGTTCGGGCTACGATTATCTAACGAAAATCTTCACAGGTTCTTTATCGTACAATTAATTAATCACAGGTTTAAAACATTGTCCCACTGATTGATCGAAGATAATTATGTCCAGTTTATGTTTTCTGAATTTACAAAAACTTTTTTTAGATCTCAAGAGATAAAATAACCTGTTAAATATTATTTAGTTATATTTATTGCTTTCCAATCTTTAAAGATCGTTATCAGTCTAATCTGTAGGTATTAATTCCTATCTTGCATTGAAGATTTGATTAAGGCGCATATGAGTTTTGATCATACAGATGTTCGGTATACAATATAAGGTAAAAGAATTTTTACAGTTATTTACAGTTATTGAAACTATAGAAATTTGATACATTTAAATGAACTTTTGGCAAGCAGGTTCATGACAAAATGATTAAAAAATTATAAAGAATGATTATGTTTAACATTAACCCGCTATTATATTAGCTATTTATCGTTACTGATGTAATTTCGATACAAAGTGGCAGTTTTTAATTGATTGATATATAAATTAATCTATTAAAAATAAATGTAGAAATTGAAGAAATATAAATTAATTTTGTTATATGATTATTTACCTTGTACCAGAAATACGTATTGCGGGCAGTTGTCATAAAAGTTGTATGATCAAATAGGGTTATTACCTCTCATATGTTATTGTACCTTATATTTGTTGAAATACGATACGTTTAATCACAATTATTGAAATAAGATTGTTTTGAACTCTTACTTTAGGCGGGCACATCATTTGTTCAATTTAAAATTTGGTAGTTACGACACTTTTATTCATGTTATAAAAAATGAATGAATATACAAGTATTATCATGTGCTTTTGAAAAAAATGATGTTGTCTTATCTAAGCTGATACCCCTGTTAATAAATGATTATACCCTGACATGAAGTTTCAGTCATTAGCAAGCAAACGTTGACATCCAATTTCATCTTAAATGATATTTTTGACAGAACCTAGACATTCCGCTTTTCAATAAAATGGGTGTGCGACCAGCATGGATCCAGACCAGCATGCGCATCCGCGCAGTCTGATCAGGATCCATGCTGTTCGCTATCAGTTTCTCTACTTGTTATAGGGTTTGTAAGCGAACAGCATGGATCCTGATCAGACTGTGCGGGTGCGCAGGCTGGTCTGTATCCATGCTGGTCGCAAACACACTATGTTGGTTTTGTCGTGACGCGGCTCATATCATTATTAAGTGGAATTGATTGACATTTCTAAATGATCTACGAATATAATTAGAGAAATATTTTAAACGGTAAAAAGATAATAGTACCGGCTTCGTGTTTGAGTTATCCACCTTTAAGTTTGAAGCGTTTGTATCTTTCAACGACAGATAATTATCAATCAAGATAAGCAAGGCCGTATTTGTTTTGCTTTATAGGTAGTCGACTTCTTACGGCTTGTTATAAAAATCAAGAATAAGTAGTTAGTATTTCGTTAATTGTACTTAACTGCAAAACTATGCCCAATTTGAAGAAAGGGTCTGTTTATAGTTTAAACATAATTATTCTAGCGCGATTGGTTAACAATTTCTTGCAACTTATATAACCAATACTATTACCTGATACCTTATATGAATGTAATTTGTTACTATATAAGGTATCAGACCTTTTATAAATGTAATTTGATATTTCAAAAATTTTCCGAAATTCTAAAAACGTCCGCGATCGAATGTTTCCCTCGAGTGCCAACTGACGTCATAGAATGATTCATTATAAACCAGACGTGGTGTGACATAATCAAAAGGTTGTTAATTGAATAAATTTAATTATCAACATATTTGCAAAACTATTTACTGTTGTCATATGAGCGATCATTATTTCTTGACACGAGTATTATTGAAATCCATGGGGATTTGAACTGTGACTATAATTTTATTTTATTCCTGTAGTTGAATTCTACATTCACATTAAATATATACTATGCTCAAATTTAATATTCGAACATATTGATAATTGCCACACAGACTCTTTGTAAACATAAAATAAAAAGGTTTTGACTTCATACAAAGTAGCTATATTATGTTTAAAATTCTACAAACTATAGGTGGTCACAATATGAATATATAGTGTCATTAAAAAAAACCTGGCAGTATTTTTAAGAAAAGACCAACTTTACTTCACCCGTATCAGGGAATGCAGCTTCCCATACACATTTTATTCATTCGTTTATTCAAGTTAGACACATTCAGTTAGAACTTCATAGATTTCAACACATTTCTGTGATTAAATTTGTTCACTAAAAGATGAGCATAGTATATCTTTAACATGCACATGATATAAAATTAAAAATACATGTATTTAAATAACTAGATATACCTTTTAAAGGTAATTATTTGACTGTATTATGTCAGTGATGTACCAATCACAAGAAAATAGTATCATACAAAACTATCTTTACTAATCGGAATACCCCTATCTTTTTTGAAAGTAATTATTTGACTGTAATATGTCAGTGATGTTACAATCACAAGAAAACAGTATCATACAAAACTATCTTTTCTAATCGGAATATCCCTATCTGAATAAAAACGAAAAATACGCCCCCCGCAAAAAACTCCCAAAAACAACAACAGAACAAAACAAACTAAAACAAAAATAATATTGCATTTTTATAAAACATGTTTAAAGAAGCTCTACTGAAATCAGACGCCTAAACATCTAAAACTTGAATTTCTTACATTGTTCACGAAACAAATTTAGGGATTCTTAGCTCAATTTGAGTGTTTGAGTGCAAAGCTTGCAACGATTGCCGATTTTAGTCATTTTGCACCTTCTGAAACAAAAACGGGTGAGAAATTTGTACACACGTTACTGGCCCAGACATTCATCGAATGCTAGACAAATCTCGGTAAAATGTCAATTCCCGTCATGTCAGAATAATCTCTGTCGAGTCCGTTTACGGTGGTATAATTTCACATTGGGACATTTCTATTTTTTTTGTCTAATTAATCATGTCTTGTGTCACTATTTACTCTCCGACAAGCTAAGAAATTTATTACTTTTAAAGGCTTACACCCCTGGATTATTGATAATTGAAAATACTGCGAAAGTACTTGCATATATAGCAAGAGAAATGTTTTCTGGACCTCCTACGTGGCTGTTGAACCACCTATGTAAATATTCATAGGCTCATGCTTTCGACTATTTTTCCATTACTTGTAATGGAAATATGCCCATAAATTCTAACAAGAATCATGATCGAGTTTAGTTTTTAGTATGCCATTCGGAAAGGTAGTACTCAGTCATATTTTGCATGAGAGGGATATCATCAATTACGTTTTAACCATTCTACTTTTGGTACATTTTCATACTTTGAATTAAAAATTATATGATTGATATATTAAAATATATCAATTCATAATTGTAAGACTTAATAATATAAAAGTAGATTTTCAGGTTAATATCAATTGCTATTCTGAACACATAATTGTACATGTGTCCACATAAGAAAATGATAGCTTGGAAAATTACAGGTACACATCCTCGCTGAATAAAATAAACAATAGATATATCATAAAATTTTATACCTGTACACACACCTTTTAAGCAACCTTTGTGGTTAAAGTTCTTGATTTCTTATCACTTGCAACCCATCGCCTTAGGTACGAATTCGCCAGGGATTTAAAATTATTTCATTGGGGAAAGCTATCGATTTAGCTTACCGCATATTGGTGGTTCTACATAGGTGGTGCCCTTGCCTGAAACAATGTATGGATGGGCACTTGAGGTCTTCCGCCACTAGTTCGGTTGAAAAGTCGATGTATTTCCATTTCAGAATCGGTGTGCAATGATTGGGTTGTTACCAATCAAGGTCAAGGTCAAACTAAAAGGTCAAATATTAATTTTATAATAACTTTTTAACCACTCAATTGAAAAAAAAATAACTTGGCACAACTGATCACCATTATGAGACGACATGAAGAGTGCAAAAATTTGGTTGCTCAAAAATGAAGGTCACACTTTAAGGTCAAATGTTAAAAAGTATACACTTCGTGTCAGCTCCATAACGTTTTAATCGCTGAAATAAAAAAATGGCGCAATTGATCACCATTATAAGAACAATAATTTGGTTGCTACCTCCAAGGTCAAGGTCACACTTTAAGGTCAAATGTATAAAGTCTTCATTTCGTGTCCTCTCCATAACTTTTAAACCTCTGAATGTTTTAAAATGTATTGGCGCAAGTTATAAACATTATGAGGCGATGTGCAGAGAGGATAATTAGGTTGCTACCCCAAGGTCAAGGTCACACGTAAAGGTTAAATATTTAAAAGTCTTCATTTCATCGTAAAAAGGTCTACATATCGTGTCCGCTCTTTAACCGCTGATTTTTTTAAAAATGATTTGGCACAACTGATCACCATTATTAGACGACGTGCAGAGCAAGGTCAAGTTCACCTTTTAAGGTCAAATGGAAAAACGTCTGCATTTCGTGTCTGTCCATAACATTTAAACGACTGCAATGTTCTTTAGATTGGCAGAAATGATCATCATTATGACACCAATGGCAGAGCAATAAAGTCACAACCCTGAAAGTAAGGGCCAAACTCAAAGGTCCAATGTAAAAACAGCTATTTTTCATGTCTGTTCTATAACTTATTGACAATTAAAAAGTTTTAAAATTACCTGGCACAAATGATCCTCACCATGATACAATCAACAGAGCTCAACATCTAGGTTGCTGCCCCAAATGTCAAGGTTATATGTTCTCCATAACTTTTTGACTTTATGGAAGTTATTAAATAACTTGGCACAAATAATCACCATATTGAGACTATGTGTTTATGATATGCATGGCCCAACATAAAGGTTTGTTGGTAAAAGGTCAAGAAGTACAAATTCATGCTTAGCTGTCCCCAAAACTGCCTTGAATATATTGTGTAGACGACTACTAGGTGATACTTTAATTCAAAATTTGGGACGAATATTATTTCATCCCGGTAACGAATCTACTATTTGAATAGTTATTGCGCAATGCTACATTAAAGAAAGTTTTACATGTAGGCAGTATCGTTTGCGGCAAAGAAAGTTTTTGAATGAAAGTAAAGGGGAAAGCTCTGCGAGTCTGGGTAAACATTTACCTAAGAGGCAAACTTTGAACAATTTTGGTTGAAATCATTACCTAAATAAACATTTAACAACAATGCTTTATAGCTTTTAGATTTAGACAATAAAACAGAGGTCTGTACGGAATAAAATTTTATGAACAACTTTAATAAGGAACATCTCAGATGGTTTCAATATATGTGACATGCTAAAATATAGACTACGGGAGTTAGACGG